ATTGTTGTTATGAATGGTTGGTTATAAACTTAGAATGTCTTAATGTGTGTTCAAAGTTCTTTCTTTGTTGGTTTATTTCTTGATACTACTAGATACATATAGTCAGGGTGATCAGATTTCTTCCCTGATTGCCTAAGACCATCCTAGTGTATCATACCTGCTCTGTTGGAAAAACTAATACCGTCCCATTAAGAAATCCACCCCAGGCTGGGCGCGGTGGCTCACGCCTGTAATCCCAGCACTATGGGAGGCCGAGGCGGATGGATCATGAGGTCAAGAGATGAGACCATCCTGGTCAAAATGGTGGTGGTGCGTGCCTGTAATCCCAGCTACTTAGGAGGCTGAGGCAGGAGAATTACCTGAACCCAGGAGGCGGAGGTTGCGGTGAGCCGAGATCGCGCCCTTGCACTCCAGCCTGGGTAACAAGAGCGAAACTCCGACTCAAAAAAAATAAAAAATAAAAAGAAATCCACCCCGCATAATCTGTCTTCTCCAATTACTACGGTTTGAAGGGTGACAGTGTAGGTGGGGTCTGTGGCTCAGAGGAGTGTGGTGTAGACAGTCTTTGGAAAAGGCAGGAAGAGGGCAGGGAGAGAGCTGAGACTTCTCCTTCTGAGTAAATATCCCAGTATTTCTTCCCAACCATCTCCTAGTCCAGGTAGCACAATCCCTGTCAGATAATACCATGATACCTGTACATGTGTCCTGTATTTCTGCAGATGTATTGACTATAGTATTTGTAAGAAGCAGGTTTTGGCTGGGTGCAGTGGCTCACGACTGTAATCCCAGCACTTTGGGATGCTGAGGTGGGCTGATCACCTGAGGTCAGGAGTTCAAGACCAGCCTGGCCAACATGGTGAAACCCCATTTCTACTAAAAATACAAAAAAATTTAGCTGGGCATGGTGGCAGGCGCCTGTAATAACCTCTGTTTGGGAGGCTGAGGCAGGAGAATGGCTTGAACCTGGGAAGCAGAGGTTGTAGTGAGCCAGGTGCCACTGCACTCTAGCCTGGGGGACAAGAGTGAGACTCCATCTCAAAAAAAAAAAAAAAAAAAGGCAGGTTTTCATTCTGTAAATTTTAGAATTTTAGGGTTAAAGGCCTAATGGATTTTATTGAAAGTTCAGTGTTTTGTTTTGTTTTTTTAAGATAAGGTAATCGAGTCCCACAAAAATGAATTTAACTCTAAAGTAGCTCAGATAGTCATAGACAAGATTTAGATGAGCTAAGGCCTTTTGAATCTTAATCTGGAGTTATTCTATATATTTTATTTTTAAAAATCTATTTTCTAAGAAATTATATGCATTGTATAAGCAACTACCTGTGAAACTGAAATTAGATAAGCACTTCTGTCCTTAGGTGCCTAAGATAAAGTCTCTTGATCTGTTAAAGCAGCACAGTTTGGTAAGTGCAGTTTCAGACACATGGTAGTAAGTGTGCATTATATGCACTGTTTTAGAATTTAGTTCCTTGTAATCATAAAGATAGAACAATGTGCACCTTCTGACTTTCTTCTGTTTGAATATTTGTATCTGATAAAATATCTTGCCAAGTTTCATAAACACCTATTGAATAAAGATTAATTTTATTGAAAATTCTTGGCTGGGTGTGGTGGCTCACACCTGTAATCCTAGCACTTTGGGAGGCCGAGGTGGGTGGATCACCTGAGGCCAGGAGTTCAAGACCAGCCTGGCCATTATGGTGAAACCCCATCTTAAAAAAAAAAAGAAAATTCATACATTGGTTTCACAACAATGTGAGGCAACTGCTAGCACCTGTTGTTTTTGCTTCTGGCCAGATCTGGATGTGTGGCGGGAAGCTCTTCATCATCCCTTGCTCTCGAGTAGGACACATTTTCCGTAAAAGGCGACCATATGGATCTCCTGAAGGCCAGGACACCATGACACACAACTCTTTGAGGCTGGCACATGTCTGGTTGGATGAATACAAGGTGAGATTAAGTATCTTGTTTAGAAGGAGAAATGACAGGCCCGTAAGTGACTGGCCTAGTGATAGCTTTGGTTGCTTTTCTTTTCACTCTGGTGTGTTTCTCTTGGTTAACCTTCACCTTAGAGCCATCTCTTTCTAGTCCCACCCCCACCCCCCACCCCCCACCCCCCACCTAGCACTTCACTTCTTTTTGGTTCTAATCTGACTCTTTTAATTTTGTAAATGTCTGCTCCTTAAGAGGTAATGCAGCTCATGTTGGAAGAAATTATTCTTATTCCTTCTGGTCCCTCTATTGTGATACCCACAGAACTTGGGTTTTTTTTTTTTTTTTTTTTTTTTAGAGATGGGATCTCACTAAGTTGCCCAGGCTGGTCTTGAACTCTTGGGCTCAAATGATCCTCCCGCCTCGGCCTGCCAAAGTGTTGGGACTATTCATGTGAGCCACTGCGCCAGGCCTGGCCTTTCTTTTCTCATTGGACTTTGTTGTAACCCAGTCCCACTTCTTCCCCTGGTAGACGGCACATTGAGAATTACCCCCACTTTCTCTTCTGCCTTAGATCACCTTACATATTTTCTTCCTAATGATTTATTGAGGTATAATCCACAAATTGATTTTGGAACATTTTGTCACTGCAAAAAGAAATCCATAATCTTCAATATCCACCAAAAATCTCCCTCTCTGCCTCAGCCCTGGACAACCAGTAATCAACCACTAATCTACTTCTTGTCTCTGCTTAATTTGCCCTTTCTGGATATTTCATACAAATGGAATCATAAGCAATGTGGTTTTCTTCTGTCCTGGCCTCTTCAGTTGAGCACAGCATCTTCAGGTTCCTCTGTGCCATACCGTGTATGGGTACTGCATTCCTTTTTATTGCCGAATAATATTCCATTGTATCAGTGGACCACATTTTACTTATCTATCAGTTGATCGACATTTAGGTTGTTTCCACTTTTCTTTTTTTTTTTTTTTTTTTTTTTTTTTTTTTTTTTTTTTTGAGACAGAGTCTCACTCTGTCAGCCAGCCTGGAGTATAGTGGCAGGATTTCGGCTCACTGCAGCCTCTGCCTCCCAGGATCAAGCCATCCACCTATTTTAACTCCCCAGGGCCCACAGATACACGCCACCATGCCTGGCTAATTTTTGTATTTTTGGTGGAGATGGGGTTTCGCCATGTTACCCAGGCTGGTCTCGAATTCCTGAGCTCAAGTGATCCACCCACCTTGGTCTCCCAAAGTGCTGGGATTATAGTTATGAGCCACCAGGCCTGGCCTGTTTCCACTTTTTGACTTTATGACAAATGCTGCTGTGAATTTTTTTTTTTTTTTTTTTGAGATGGAGTTTTGCTCTTGTTGTCCAGGCTGGACTGCAATGGTGCAATCTCAGCCTACTACAATCTCTACCTCCTGGGTTCAAGCGATTCTCCTGCCTCAGCCTCCCAGGTAGCTGGGATTACATGTTTAAAAATACTATATACAAATACAGCAGCATCCAGGCGCGGTGGCTCACACCTGTAATCTCAGCACTTTGGGAGGCCTAGGTGGGCAGATCATCTGAGGTCAGGAGTTCGAGACCTGGCTAACATGGTGAAACCCCGTCTCTACTAAAAATACACAATTAGCTGGGCGTGGTGGTGCATGCCTGTAATCCCAGCTACCTGGAAGGTTGAGGCAGGAGAATCGCTTGAACCCAGGAGGTCAAAAAGATGAATAAGGGAGTGCACAGGAATTTTCCACACTGTGAGGGAAACGTAAACAGAGACACGTGTAGCATGTGCTGGAATGATGGGGACAGAGCAGTGCGCTGTGCTTGCAGGGGAGCAGGGACTCCAGGGTGCTTCTCCACAGGATTGTTCATCTCCTCTGTCTCCTTGACCAGACTTTGGTGTAATTCCATGTCAATCTATGATTCATCACTGGCTCCCATAGTTCTCAACACATGGTCCCTGTCTTAGCCACTCTTTCAGGAGGCCTGCCAGTTTAAAGTCATTTTCATAGTCAGATTCATACCGTATTTGGCCCTTTCCCCATGCTGACATTGCACTGTGTGTGTAAAATCAGGAGAGTAAGGTGGCTGCTGTTTTGGCGTAAATCGAGGCATCGGCACCCAATTAACTATAGTCACTGCCTTCTTCACCAGCACTCACTCAGATGACAAAGGCCAGTTTCATTTCAGAATGTCATTGACATAATAATTTTAGTAAACCTCAATGTGCCTTTTTAGTATCCTGTGTGAGTGCGCATGCTCACACAGAAAGCACTTCTGCCGTGTACTGAAGTACAGCGGTTGGTTCAAGGAGAAACACTTGTGTGGCTGAGTTGTGGGTGGAGCTAGCCACTGCTCTCCAGGACACATTCTTTCTTTTTTTGAGATGGAGTCTCGCTGTGTCGCCAGGCTGGAGTATAGTATCGTGATCTCGGCTCACTACAACCTCTGCCTCCCGGGTTCAAGCGATTCTCCTGCCTCAGCCTCCTCAGTAGCTGGGATTACAGGCACGTGGCATCACGCCCAGCTAATTTTTGTACTTTTAGTAGAGATAGGGCTTCACCATGTTGGCCAATCTGGGCTCGAACTCCTGACCTTAAGCCCGGCTCGGCCTCCCAAAGTGCTGGGATTACAAGTGTGAGCCACCACGCCCAACTGAATAGACCAGTAGATTTTAATGCAACAGTGTACAAATTGTAATGCGATTTCATATTCCACATTGTTACTAAACTTCAAAAGTTATTGAATATAGGTTGTAGTTTTACATATATTTAACCAAAACAACATATCATAACAAGGTAAATGCAGCTGTGAGAATTTAGCTGACTTGTTTTAAGTCAGCCAGCAAAAAGGTTTGCAAAAATATAAAGCAATGTCACTGTTCTCAGTAAATTTTGTTTGAAATGAGTTTCTAATTATTTTGAGGAAGTAGTAATTTGTAGGTCTCTCTGTTTTGATTTCTGTATGGTAAATATGAACAGCCACAGCCCACACAGCAGAACCTCCTGGGGTTTCAGTAAAGTGGAAGAGCGTCAAGTACTGAGACTAATGAGTCGGAGACCCACTGATCGCATGTGTACGCCTGCTTCCCTGATTCTCAGATAAACTGAATTGTGCAAAGAATCTCTATAATTGCATAATAATCATTTTTTAATGAAAAATTCCGTTATTTCACTTTTTAAAATTCAGGAGCAGTATTTTTCCTTAAGACCTGACCTGAAGACGAAAAGCTATGGAAACATCAGTGAGCGCGTTGAATTGAGAAAGAAGTTGGGCTGCAAATCATTTAAATGGTATTTGGATAATATATACCCAGAGATGCAGATATCTGGGCCCCACGTCAAACCCCAGCAACCCATTTTTGTCAACAGAGGCCCAAAACGCCCGAAAGTCCTTCAGCGTGGAAGGGTAAGAAAGCAGTCTTTTCCAAGTGTCTCGTGAAAAGTGTTTGATAGGAAAAGTTTTGAGATGCCCATAAGCTATGACATTGTGGACTTAACAGAGTCTAATGACAGACTTGAGCTTGCCTTTCATTATATTCTCTCTATGAGAACTTCCTCTACTCAAGTGCAGGACCTTAGAAGTATTCCTATCTGTGCTGCTGTTACTAAGGATCCTCGCCTTGCCAGCCTAGAAGGCAGCGTGCCTTCTGTGGGGATAAATTATGTGACAGCTTTCAAGAGCGCAGAGGCACAGGTGAATACACCCTGGATAGAGGCCAGTCCCAAAAGGAAAACAGGTGGAGAAATGGAGCAGTGATCTGCTGTTTGCTCACAGCTCTGGGAACTGACTCAGTGGAGGTGGTAGTGAGGGTCAGAGTTGGGGAATGGGATGGGATTTCATGCCGGCTGTTCCCAAAAGTCACCTGAGCTCAGCGGAAAACACATTGATCAACCACATTTCCTTAGCTCTCTTTGGGTCCTAAACTCATTAGTTATATGTCACAGTTAAATTGTAGGGGTCTGGCCAGAAAAATCATCCCTTTCTCCTGAGTCATCTCTTAGAGTTGGTTTCTTAAAGCTGAGGGCAGATGCTGTCTGTGTTGCCCAGTGTCCCTTCTTTTATGAAGAAGGCACTTCTCCCAAAACCGTGCCAACTCTCCCACAGTGGCTAGGAGGAAGCCTAGAGCTTTCCCCTTTCCTCAGCGCTCGACCCTATAATAAGACAAAAGAGCCGCTCAGATGTTTAGGATGAGATGTTTTTCTCTAAGTAAAAGAGAGAGCAGCGTGCCCTGCACTTGATTCCGTCCATTCTTAGCTCTTGCTGTTTCTCGTGCCGTTGCAGTCCCTGTGAGCGTTGGCATCCGTGTATCTCCAGTTCATGCATGTTGCCTTTAATTGTGTGCTTTTTCATACGTGTTGTTCTTACATCCCTGACTTCATTTTAAGGTTCTTTAGGGCAGGGATGATATTTTAATTTCCTTCCTCCGCTATACATAGGAAACACGTATATGTAGCTAGACTTTCTCCCTGACACTGCCTGCATGGTAAAGTCACTAATAACTTTTGGAGCTGCAACTTTTGTGTGTCCTGATGCTCCTGTGTACTGAGGCGAGAACTTAGGAATTAAAAAATGCGTATCTTTTTATGAGCCTTGGAACTGGTACCTGTGGAACAGTCTTTTCACATTTTGCCCAGAACCACATCCAGGCTTGGGAGGCACCTCGGGCGCGGCCTCCCGCGTGCTGAGCTGCCAGTGTCTTCTCTTACAGCTCCGTCACCTCCAGACCAACACATGCCTGGTGGCCCAGGGCCGCCCGAGTCAGAAGGGAGGCCTCGTGGTGCTGAAGGCCTGTGACTACACCAACCCAAACCAGGTGAGTGGCACCTCGGGACTCACAGCCAGTGCCTGCAAGGCGGCTTCCAGGGAAGGGAAGCTGCTGGCAGTCACTCCTGAGGACATCAGTGTCTACTATTCTGGCTTCTCTGCACCCATTTATGCCTAGTGTTCTGTTATTGGAACACTAAGCCTGTGGGAGTTTGCTGTACCCTACCGCTCAAAGTCATCACCAGGGTCTGGTTTTTCACACAAAAAACTTGCACCTCCGGCATAAATGGGTTAAAAGGATGAGCGTGGCCATAGATGCCATCTCAGTCAGCTGCTTTTGTCCCCTTGGGATGTTTTTCCTACCTCTGCTCATTGTCATAGCAACATTTTAATTGTTTACACTATTATTTGTATTTTCTAATATTCTACAGAATTTCAGTTCATTTCATTCACATAATTTAACTTCAGCGTATGTATGTCTCCTAAATAAAAAAGCGGCCCTAAAAATCAGCAAATAACTTACTTCAATTTGGAACAGTAATTTCAAACTCATTTGTGTCTGATAAAATAGCATAACCTAACAGCAATCTGATCGCATAAATTGTGGTGGCTCAAGACTACAATGTTTCATTTCTATTTTAGTTGGGGGTTGGTGTCACTCAGGAATGAAAAAAAAACAATTTGGGCTTTTTGGTAAATAATGTATACTGTGAAATTTCATCAAACGTCTACCAGGAGAGTTCATGCCCACTGTCTCAGGTGATACATGTGTTGAAAACGTGTTTGAAAGGGATTTCTGTGCCTTTATCTGGGTAGGAGAGGTGGAAGGATTAAAATCGCGGTGATGTTTCAGTGGTGTAGGTCACAGTGAGATGAGTGCTGAAATTTGTTCCAGAAAATATAAGTTGGGTGATGGAGTTAGCTACCCTATACTAAATATACTGTGTTGCTGCGTAGTTGTGCTAACGCTAGCCAGCAGTCACATGTGGCTTCGTAAGTCAGCTAACTTAAGCCGTTCTGCCTCACACTAGTCACATTTCAAGGGCACAGTAGCTGCATGTGGCCAGCAGCTCCCTTACTGGACACACAGGCCATGAAACAATAGCAGCATGGCAGGAAATTCTCGTGCCGCTCCCTATGACTCTGATCAGGGGTCTTCATATTAACACAGACTGCACACACCCATATTGGGTCTCTAAACTGAAGCAATGAGTACATAATTAGAACAGAAGAGAACAGGTTCCTTTTGAACTCGGTGATACCGCACGTTGGAGAGGAGGTTACTCACGGCACCTGCCCCGTCCCCCAGGTGTTCCTGAAGAGAGCCTGTGGTTCAACTTACGCACGTCCTGACTGCCCCACAGGTGAGGAAGCCATGGAAATGGCAGCCACGTGCCCTTCTTCCCCAGAAGCCAGCCAGAAGCTTGCCGCACAGTCCAGGAATTCAGAGAATTATATAATTGCTAAACTCTAAAATTGTAAAAGACTTAATTCAGTCAGTTAAATTCAATGAACAAAGTTCACCCACTGCTTAGGTTTCCTCCCAGAACAGCGCCTCAACTCCTCCTGCCTAGCTCTTGAAGTGGAATGAACCAAGGTGAATCTGCTTCCCTGTAAGTCTAGTGCACTGGTCTGTTTCTGCTTTGAGACCTTACAGAATACATCTGTGAAAGAATGTGTAAAGTGTTGTTCAGTCTTGAAATTCAGTATCTAAATTTTTTTTTCTTCTCTAGATCTGGATTTATAATGAAGAGCATGAATTGGTTTTAAATAGTCTCCTTTGTCTAGACATGTCAGAGACTCGCTCATCAGACCCACCACGGCTCATGAAATGCCACGGGTCAGGAGGATCCCAGCAGTGGACCTTTGGGGTGAGGAGTGCCCGGTGATGTTGGGAGAATATACAAAAGCCCACGAGGTTGAGTGAGGGAGATGAACTTATATTCTACCTTGGGAGGAGGTCTTCTCAGTTTGCAGTATGGTGGTCCCCCCTTATCGGGGGGGAAGATGTTCCAAGACCCCCAGAGGACACCTGAACCCACAGGTACCCTGTATATACTGGATTTCTTTCTAGAGACGTATACCTGTGATAAAATTTATCAGGCAGAGTAAGAGGTTCACAACAGTAACTCATAATAAACCAGATCAGTTGTAATAACATACTGTGGTTGTGCAGTGGCTCACGTCTGTAGTCCCAGCACTGAGGAAGGCCAAGGCGGGAGGATCGCGGGAGCCCCCACAGCTTGTTCATTCTCTCTATAAAAACCAATCAATATAATGCAGATTATGTGGTCACAAATCATCTTACTGTACCGTTCTGCAGGTAACTGGAACAGCAGAAAACTAATCTTTAGACTAAGGGAACTGTTGTATCCCTTATTTAATCTGAATTCTTTAATGCTCCATGTCTCTTCTGGATTTCCACATTTTGCCAGTAACTGGTGGTCTTTTTTTCTTGCTCCCCCCTTTTTTTTTTCCAGAAAAATAATCGGCTATACCAGGTGTCGGTTGGACAGTGCCTGAGAGCGGTGGATCCCCGGGATCAGAAGGGCTCCGTCGCCATGGCGATCTGTGACGGCTCCTCCTCACAGCAGTGGCATTTGGAAGGTTAAGGTGGCTGCTGTGGCGGGAACGGTGCTTCGTCAGGCATTGCCTCCCGTGTGGAGACGGGGCTCGAGGGAGGCCTGGGTGGGTAGAGCGGAGCTGTCTTGGAGAGGGACATTCCCCTGTCTTCCCAGAGCTGTCTGGGCATGTCAGCAGAGGTGACACGCGTCTGACAGAGATGGGCGCCCGGAATGTCCCCATGTGAAGAAGTATGTTTTACCTAGACATCGAGGTCATCTCTGAGCTGCTGTTAAGGAATTTCTTATAGAACTGGGCTTGTACAGACGGACAAAACCCAGGAAGACGGATGTTTCTATTCAGATTTATCCATGCCTCATTTTAATCCCGTTTAATGATGCAGTGGTTTTTACCTGATCAGGAACTTGTCATGATTTCCTTTCTTAGAAGACTTCATAGGAGATAGTGCTTTTTCTAAAAAAAAATAAATAAATAAAATTTATTATTTGTATCGTATGTTCTAAGTAGATCATTTAAAAGAACTGAATCTACATTATGTTTAACTTCACAAGGCATCATTTCTAAGACAGTATTAAGAGGCAGTTAACGATTATAAATTATTTTGATGAATTATGATACTATCTACATTTAAAATAAAGGATCTTTTTGATTATTTAACTAGGATATTTTGTCTTGTATTGGGGCCTCTGGTCTGAGGTGGGATAGATGCTCTTGGATTCAGCTGATGACACAGCAGGCCCAGTGGCTATCTTCGCCTCTCATGACGCAGCCCCATTTCCCAGCTTGAGCTGCGTGACGTTAGATACTGGACATCAGAGTTGCCTGTGCAGCTCCCAGGGAGGGCTGTTCAACAGGCAGCTGGGCACAGAGGTCAGACTCTTGGAAGATCTATCTCAATTAGAGACAATACATTTGGGAATCCTCTGCATATACTAAAAACTCTGAAATAAATACAAGATGAATCTTCCTCCCAAACAGTCTCATCTTGCAGGGTATGCACTCAGGCATATTACCTTGAACCACAAAACAGTTTCAGTACCACATCCTATTTTATCTGTGATTTGACCTCACAGGCCAGATGGTACATATAGAAAACAAGAGCAGCAAGATGGCAGATTGAAGTCCAACAATGTCAGTCAGTCATCACATTGAGTGTAATGCAGGTAAATGCTGCAGTTAAAAGGCAAGATTAAAATGCAAGATCCAACTGTATGCTGCCTAGAAGAAACTCACTTTAAATATGAATACATTACAAATACAAGGATGGGAACATACGTGAAAGACATCTGGATAGATATGTTAGTATTGGACAGGAGATTCATGCACAAATCATATTATTACAGATGATACAGAGTCATTTCGTGTATAAAAGATTCAACTCACCAAGAAGAAATAATCCCAGTTTATCCGTTTTTGTGGCCTTTATTTTGAAGTTCTGTTAAAACCGCAAGAAGCATACCCATCCACAATTATAGTAAGAGGTTTCAACAACACACCTCTCAGTAATTGATAGAACAAGTAGACAGAAAAAGAGTATAATGTAGAAACCTTGAACAACACTATCAATCAACCCATCTTGCCCTAATTAATTGACACTACCCAACAACAGAATACACATTGTTTTCAAATACACTTGAACATTTACCAAGATAGACCATATTCTGGGATATGGAGCAAGGCACGATATAGGCATAAAAATTCAAGTCATACAAAGTATAACAGAAATCAATAAAAAAGACGACACTTGGAAAATCTCCAAATAAATTAGCACACTTCCCAGTACCTTAGGGTAAAAGAAAAGTCTATTCTGAACTGACCAAAAATGAAAATACAACATATCAAAGTGTGTGGCATGCAGCTAAAGCAGTACTTGGAAGTTTGATAGCATTGAGCACCTATATTAGAAAAGGATAAGCACGTCTCGAAGACCTTAGCGTCCGTCTTAACAGAAAAAGAGCAAGTTAGAGAAGCAAAAATGAGTGACAACAATAGAGAAAATAAACTAAAAGCTTATTTGAGAAGATCAGGAAAATTGATAAACCTCTAGCCAAAAAAAAAAAAAAAAAAAAAACCTCAAATGACCCAGATGGAAGAGGCTGGTGCGAGGAGGAGCTCTGGCTCGCTCCGATTCGCCCCCGGTGGGAGCAGGGGCTCTGGCTCGCTCCTGTTCGCTGCCGGTGGGAGTGCAAAGCGGGACAGCCACTTGGGCAAGTTTCTTACAGAGCTAAACATACTCTGACAAAATGATGCGGCAGTTGTGCTCCTTGGTATTTCCCCAAAGGAGCTACAAACCACACAAAATCTGCACCTGGATTTTATAGCAGCTTTATTCATGATTGTCAAAACCTGGAAACAAGCAAGATGTCCTTTAGTACATGAATGGATGAGCATGGTACATTCAGACAACGGAACGTTCAGTGCTAAGAAGAATTAAGCCATAAGCCTTGAAAAGTTACGGAGGAATCTTAAGAGTCTATTACTCAGTGAAATAAGCCGATCTGAAAAAGCTACATACTGTATGATTCCAACTGTACGATGTTCTGGAAAAGGCAAAAACATGAAGACAATAAGACCACTGCTTGCTAGGGATTATGGGGAGTAGGGTGGTTGATTTTATGTCAACTTGACGAAGTTAAAGGAGCTCAGGTAGCTGGTAAGACATTATTTCTGCAAGTGTCTGAGGGTGTTTACAGAAGAGATTAGCGTTCCAATCAGAAGACTCAATAAAGATCTGCTCTCACAAATGCCGGTGGGCACCACTCAATCCACTGGGAGCCCAAATAGGACGAAAAGATGAAGGAAGGGTGACTTGCTCTCTCCTTGAGCTAGATGTCAGCACTCTGGCTCTCAGGCCTTTGGACTCAGACCAGGGCCTACATCATTGGCTCTCTGGCTCAAAAGCCTTCAGCCTGGGGCTGGAACACCACCACTGCCTTTCCTGGGCCTCCAGCTTGCAGGCAGCAAATCACAGAGTGTCTCAGTCCCTCGTGATAAATCTCTTTCTATATGTCTATACAGGCTATTGGTTCTGCTTTTCTAGAAAACCCAGCTAATACAGGGAGGGAGGGAGGGAGGGATGAGCAAGTAGAGAACAGGGGATTTTTATATCCTACATGAATATAGAAAAAAAAAATTTCCTTACAAAAATTAGCAAATCAAATCCAACAACATATAAAAAGGATGCTACATTATGAACAAATTGGTTTTAGTCTCGGAATGGAAAGATGGTTTACATAAGAGATTTGATCAATATAATTTACAACGATAGCAATACAGGGGGAAAGGCATAGGTAACCCCGCAGTAAAAACATGTAGAAAAAAAATTTGACAGAATTCAACACCCACTTATGATAAAAACTCAGCAAACTAGGAATGGAAAGAAAATTCCTCAGCCTCACAAAGTGCGTCTGTGGAGACACTGCAGCCTCATGTAATGAGAAGGTGACTGGGAAGCTGTTCTTACCTCCCCCAGCCAGCACAATACGGCAAGAAAAGGAAATGAAAGGCGTGTACATTAGGAAGAAAGAAGTGACAGTGTATTTGCAGACTACAGTCGAGTATGCAGAAAATCACAGGGCGTCTTCAAAAGTACTACTAGACATAGGAATTTATCAGGACCACAAAAAAAAAAATCAATATAAAAATGAATCATTCTTCATATGGGCAACAAACAGCTCAAAACGGAAGTTCATGGTATTGTGAGTGCAGTTTACAACAGCATCCAAAATATAAGAACTTAGGTACATATAACAAAATATGTGTAAGACTTGTATGATGAAAAGTACAAAACATTAAGAAAAATCAGGATTCGATAAATAGCGAACTACACTACATTCATGATTGGAAGACTCAGTGTCACTAAAATGTTAATTTTCCACAATTTGATCTATGGTTTTAATGCTAATTTTTCTTTTTTTTTTAAACGCACCACCTGAGGTCAGGAGTTCGAGACCAGGCTGGCCAACGTGGTGAAACCCACGACTTTTAATCAAACTCCCAGTATGCTTTCTGTGGAAAATGATAATTTTAAATTTATATGAAAGTGCATAGGACTAAGAGTGGCCAAAATAATAAGGAATTAAATTGGAGGACTGACGCTAATTCAAGACTTACTGTGCTACTGACTTATAGATAAAGAATTGATTGGTGGAAGAGAAATAGACCCAAACATCTATGGCCAACTGATTTGCAGCAAAGGAGCCAATATAATTCAGTGGGGAACGGAAAATTATTAGAACATATGGTGCTGCAAGAATCTGATATCCCGGTGGACAAAAATTAACTGTGACACCCCTGCCACCACCTTACACCATAAACATGAAGATCTTAACATAAAAACTAGAATTATAAAGCTTTCAGAAGAAAATGTAGGAGAATAGCTTCATGACTTTAGGGTAGACAAAGACTCCTTAAGCACCCATTAAAGACCCAGCCATTGGCCAGAAGGAAACATTTTAAACAAAAAATGGCATGGTGGCTCATGTGTCTATAATCTCAGCACTTTCTGGGATGCCAAGGCGGGAGGATTGCTTGAAGCCAGAAGTTTCTAGACTAGCCTGGTCAACATAGTGAGAACCCACCTCTATTTAAAAAAGAAAAGGCCAGGTGCAGGTGGCTCATGCCTGTAATCCCAACACTTTGGGAGGCCGATGCGGATTGCTGGAGCTCAGGAGTTAAGAGACCAGCCTGGGCAACATAGCGAGACCCTGTTTTTAGTAACAGTTTTTAAAAAAAGAACTAGCCATAAAATATTAACCAATTGAACTTCAGAATTAAGCTTCTGCTTATCAAGACACCATTGAGAAAATGAAAAAAGTAGCCCCAGAATTGTATTCAAGGGTATTTAAAATTCAATACTAAAAAGACAACCCAGTTTTTAAAATGGATAAAATATTTGGATACTTCACCAAAGAACTATAAATAGCTCAGTATATGAAAAGGTGTTCATTATCATGGTCATCAGAGAAATGCAAATTAAACGACATTCAGATGCCACTTTCCATCCATTAAAATGGCTGAAATAAAGACTGACATGGGGGCTTCTCAGGAAATGGCAGGAAAGGCTGCAGCAGAGCCTTCAGATTCTGCCCAGTCAGCATAACGTTAGAGCAACTAGATAGACAAACCCAAAGCCCCTGGACAGTGTCTTCAGAGTACCTAGGTGTCAAGGTAGTTGCACATTCTCTAAAACAAAGCGGGTAGGAAGAGCTGGAAGCCCCAAGACCTGTGTGGCGGTGGAAAGCCGGGCAAGGTCCAGGGCAGATGGTTTGTGGAGGAGGGGAGGAGGGGAGGAGGGGAAGAGGGGAGGAGGGG